AAATAAAATAAACATTGTATTTTAACATTAATATTTATTTAAAGATTTAATATTTAAAATTTTATATTTACATTGCTGCAAGACAAATAGTTTAATATTTAATATTAAATTGTATGCAGATGTCTTGAATAATTTAATTGCAATGAAGCCCAAAACGATACATGATTTTCTCTGAAGTCAACATATTTGCTACTCAACATGAATTACGGGCTAAAAGGGACAAGTAAAATTTCAGTCTGGTGGTACACAAAACACAATGTATGAAGATTCTAAGTGAGTGTCACACTGAATGATTGGATTTTTACTTCTTGTGGTTTATTTCAAACCATTTTTCAAGGAATCCTCAATGAGATTCTATCTGTGAATCTTGCATACAGGACTCAATTATTTTGGAGAGCATTTCTTTTTCCTCTCCTGACCTTTGCTTGCCCCAAGTTCTTTCCACCCATGTGAGCAGGACAGAAGGGGGTCTGGGGCAACTGACTTGAGAGGCTGCTAACAACTGACTGTTGCCAGGCAACTGGAATTGGGGCTGTTCATTTTATAACAAGACAGGCATTGCGCTGGGGTTTAGTATCGGTACCCGCGATACAACCACAATGTAACAGGAAGGAATTACTAACTCAGAATGGAAGCGAATGAGTACTTGGAGAGGTACAAGATTTACATTTTGGAATAAATGTCATCGATTTAAAAGACTGTGCCACAGTTCATCCAAGATAAGCTATAAATGGATTCTAATATGTGAGGTAAGAAAAATTAATGAAAGCACATCAGTCTCTGTTTTACATGAGTGTGTCCTCAGATCCCTGTTCCACATGTGTATTTAAATTTTATCATCTGCCCATTTGGATATGGTGGGATGAGCAACGTATTAGCAAGAATCCTGTACTTGAACCTCCCTCAGCATAATAACCTAATGCCAAAACCTGAGGCATATGCTGCATATTAATGTAATTAGGCTTCAAAGTTACGATGCTGGGTTTTTACTGCTTTTCATCATTTGACCTCGTCGTTCCTCCATTGTCTATATTAAGATATGGGAGCATGAGAAGTCTCAAGATCTAAATTCCATAACCATATGGATTGACTTGCAAGTATTTTCTTTATTTCCTGGTTATACCAATGGAGTGTCCCCTTTTAGCTGAACATAATAATGCTTAAGTCTGAAAGCACTTGTGAAAATAAATTTTGTCAAGGTATAATCCTAATGATTAAGAGCTAAAAAAAAAAAACCCTTTTTTATGATAGGAAGATCTTAAAATAATTTTTATAAAGCAGTCTATGTGTGTTCTCTTAAATAAAATGTGTATCATGATGGATTACAAAATAGCTACAGTATGTAACAAAAAGTAAAGAATGAAGAACTACATTAGTGTAGTTCAGGGTGATTTAAATTTCCTTCTTTTTTTTAACCTAAACTTTATTTAAAAATGTGTATTATTTTTAGTGTAAGAAAAAAATAACATTTTAAAAATTAATCGGACCTAGGCATCTGCTTAGATTTCTAAACACCTGTTTAATCATAAATAATTTTAAAATAAATAAATTAAAAATCTAAAAATGAATGAATAAAAAACATAAAAATATAAAATTAATGTGACATGTGCATCATTTAAAACATAGGTGCTTTTATTCAGAATTCCCTGACCCCTATTCTGTCACCTAATGTGTACCACTGATGGGTCACAGTGAGCCGAGGGGATTATGGGACAGTGGGATGGGAGCTGCTGGAATCCTGGCTTGTGAGCAGCCTTCTTCGACTCCACTGTGCACGTGTATCATTTTCCATGGGATCTGCGTCATGCAGAAAGGTCGCAATGCGCTGGCTAGATTTCTTTGCCTTGGGCCCTGGAATATCATTTCCTGACCCCAACAAAATAAGTCAATAAAGTCTGTCCTGAATAATTATCCTTCTGGCATGAAAATCATGATGCGCTTCCCAAATCAGAATGCATAAAGAGTTGACATGTCCACATTTTCAAAGAGTAAAAACACCTTGAACAGGAAGTGTATTCTGGAACTAATGCTTGCTTAATAATGTCAGAAAATGACAACAGATCCTACCATCCAAAGAAAAGGTCACGGCCTGAGAAGCACTCTATTTTTAGGCATGTGTGTATCTAATCTTTCAGTATGAAGAATATGGCCGATCTGGCTGAAATATGAGTTAACAAAATAGCTAAAGAAAACATATTAAACAAAAATTCCTGCCTGAGATCTTTCTTACTCTGTCCACTCAAATCACTTTCTGCATTTTCCTCATTACTTTGTTACAAATATCTATTAAAAAGAGGGTAACTTCTTTCTGTGCAGGAAATTGCTTGTTGGTAAATTGTAGTTTGACCCAGAATTGAATCTAGTGCTTATGGGCAGGTGTGGCTTCTAAAGCAAAGGGTGTTGTCTCTGGACTATGCTGAACCAGAAGAACCAAACGACAAAAAGCAGCGTCAGAATCCATAGGTTACAGAGGTGAGCATGTCTTCTGATCCTGGCTCCTGTACCTCCACTAGAAGTTCTGAGAAGTAATTGTTTACATTCACACCCTTTCCTCTGTTGCCTTACATGGTACTGACATTTTAAATGCGAATGATTGAGGAACAGAAATCTTATCTCTTATAACTACACAGTTGGTATCATCAAAGTCATCCCTGTCACTAATTTCAGGGCATGTAATTCTGTAAAGGAAGGCTCATAGATGTGATTTTACTCAAATTGATGTGCCAAGTATAAAATACATGACTGTATTTTGCAGATGAAGATTCCATTTTAAAAAGGGTGATTTATAAATAATAGTATATCCTGTCATTAGCATGTAAGCTTCAAGAGGTTGTTCACTGTAGTATCTCTAGAACTGAGAACATGTTAGACATTCAATAAATATTTGTTACATGAGCAATGTTCTCTGACCTTCTATTTGTATTGCATGGTTTATGATCTGGTACAATTGTTTACTTGTAGCCATACATTTCTCAGCAGTAGACAACAGGAACCAGGGAAACTCAATGTCTATTGTGTATACTGTCATATTCCCAGAGCCCAGCAATACCTCTGTGTACAAAGTTGAGTGAATTAAAGAAGAGACCATGTTGTGTCTTATTATCTATCATCCTCAGTAATTAGCCACACAAAGCGTGTGGCTTGATTCTTATGTGATTAAGAATGTGCTTGGAACATGGAGATATATTTATTGCCACGTTGAATGTAGAGAATGCCGCGGTGTTCACTGCAGATGCTCTGGGATACTAGGCAATCTCTAGGCTCAGCCTGGCTACCCACCCACCTGATGTGGCTTTGGAGAAGGCTGCAGCTGTGGATGCTATTGTTCACATCAAACACCGTATAATGCCTTTGACTCCCTCCTTCCAATGAGAGAAAAATATAGAGTACAAAATGAAAGCTGCATTTTCCATGGCAGCTCACCAGTTGAGCCAGACCTCTGTAAGTTTGTCCATTACCTATTTTTTTCTGTGAAATAACTTCTGAAAATAGTTTTAGGTTGTTTTGGAGAACATCCCTATCTCTCACAGCAGCAGAAGGTTAGGTCAATCTGGTGCTGAAGAATCCAGAGGAGGAAGGTGAGCCTAATGATCATTTGGGATTAATTATCTTTTTCCTATAAAATACTGTTGGGGACCTTCCTCCCCTTAGATTAGTGGGACAGCATCTGTCAGGATGTAGAGAAATCTCACTAAGTGAAATATCCTTCCATCAAAACAAACTCAGGTTTCAAGTCCCAGATCCTTTTTTTCCCGTATACTGCATGAGTCTAATGGGGATTAGATTATACAGATATCCATAGAATGCTTAATGAGGGTTATTTCCGTAATCTCTAGTCGTCATTCTCAATGGCTCGGTACAGAGTCGTAATAGGTAGTCCATGTGCGGTAGCAATTCATAGCACCCCAAACACTGATGAGTCTATCAGAAGTTTGGCCTCACATCTGGTACTCTCACCTTGATTTAACCTCTGTTGTTCAGTCCCCTCATTATAAAAAGGAGATTAAAAACTCTTAATATTCTTCTTTATCACAAAGAAATAAATGAGAAAATATATGTAAGTAATTATCTTATGAATGGCAGCCATTGTGGTGGTGATTTTTTATTTCTGTTTATACCTCTGAGCTCAGCCTCATGATATTCTACCCAGAGAAATGAGTCGATTTGGTGGCTCTGGTTCCAAGGGAGTGCGATTCCTCCTCTCCTAGTGACACCTGGACCTCCCCTTCTTCATCCAGATGGAGCACACGCCTTCATCATGTGGAGCCGCACATACAGGCAGCATTCACCATCTCCCCATGAAGAGGAACAGAGTGGCCTTGGTATTATTTTAATAAAAATCTGGGACTGGAAACATTTAACTGAGCGTTATTTCTCAAAGTGGTCAACTGGTGATGTGCATAGGTGTTTTAAGGAACCAGAATCTATCTATTATATATCACAGACACTCAATAAATCTTACTGAACTGAATTATAATTAATTTTAAGTGGTATTTTAATTAAACAATGTAGTTTTGAAATTAATTCATCTTATAGACTGGCTATTAATTCTTAAGAGCCAAACATTATTTGGCAGTTTAAAGAACTAGTTACACTATAAAAAAAAATACATTGAAAGCTGCAGTTTCTGCCCTTAATAGTTTTAACATAATTTAACTCTGATGATTTTTGCGACAGCAAGGAAGACACAGCATTATCATCCAATCAATGACCTAGACAATGGACACAGTGAAATATATGAAACACTATCCAGAATGTTCACAGTTGCTGTTGAAAATGATCTATGATTGTGATTAATTGCTTTTGAAATTTTGATCAGAATTGATCTGTACAATTTTCTGGCACTGGCTCTGTACGTCAATTCTCACTCTGGAATTACATAAATCAATTTAGTCTGGACTTCTGTAGAAACTGGGGGGAGAAAGAGAGAAGTAATTTCTGAGTTGTCAGTGACTGATGGATGCTCTGATTTCACAGTTTTAGTAAAGAAAAGGTCTTACCGTAGCTGTCATAGGTATCCTCACTTACTCCATGACCACAGTCATAGTATTCAGGCACACTGCAACAGATTTAGACAGCAATCAATGTTACTATAATCAGAAAAAATCAACCCAGAAACTCATGGAATTTGAAAGCAAAATGTGTGCAAGGTAATATACAAGACCCTCTAGGCATAAAACACAAACCTAAAGAAATACTCAGAAAGAAAAATACAGGTTATTGACAAGGAATGCTATGATTTCTCATGCTGGCTCAGTACTTCTTTATCTTCCAATTTTATAAATCACATTTCCCCTAAATGCAAGTATTATACTTCAAAATCTATAAAGAAGAGAGTTATAATAGGTCTATTTCCAAAAAAATAGTCTTATATAAGATGACAATCTGGTCAATCATGTATGGCTTTAATGCTGTTACCTTAAGAGAAATGCCACAATTGCATCTTCACTTCTGAACACTGAACTTAAATTTATACTTCACTGTAGCCCTTCCACAGCATATCCATGCACTTCTCAAATATATAAGCTACTTCTTTTCACTTAGTATTTTACTAGATGCTTCTACATTTCAATAATTGAGAAATACCCTTGTCACTCAACATACTTAGTCTTTTCCCATTAAAAATGTCATCACTTTGTCCTGCAGCAAGTTTCCTTCTTTAAGGCACTGTTCCCATTAGCACCCAAGCATCTTATATGTCTCTATCCTCAAAAAGCCTTCACTATTCTCATGCCTCCTTCTAGCGACCATCCCTTTCTGAATCCTTTTACAGCAAAGTTTATTGAAAAGAGGCAGATTCTTTGTGTACTTGTTTACCACCTCTCTTTCCCTATGATTTTGAAGACATTCCAATCAGGCTGTTGTCTTCACCGTCAATATCTCGACATTTGCAAATCCAATAGTTAAGACTTGGTCCTCATTTTAGGTTTGTACCATTTAACACAGCTAATCATTTCCTGCTCCTTCAAACACTTGACTTGTTTCTCAGATGTCCTCTTAGCTCACTTCAGTTCCTCATTCTTTACTGGTACTTATTATCCTGGCCACTGAGCGCAGGTAGTAGACCTGCTCTTTTCTACTCCCACTGACTCCCTCGGCAATCTCATCCGATTCCGCAGCCTTCATACCATCTCTAATCTGAAGACTTCCAAATTTTACATCCAGCCTTACCTCCTCCCTGTCTCATATATCCAGTTGCTTATTGTATACTTCTGTTTGGATGTCAAACTTAACATGTTCACATATAAAAATTTGATTTTCTTTACAACTCAGTCCTGTTTCTTTTAAATTCTTCCTATCTTTATAAATGGTGGAGTCCTTTCCTGTCTCTCTTATCTAATATTCAATCCAACAGCAAATTCTTTCACTTATACTTGAAAATCTACCCAGAAGTTGAATGTTCTAAACATCTCTATAGGTATGACTATGGCTAAAGTTGTCACCATCTCTCACTTACACAAACACAGATGATGTCTTTCTAACTGGTCTCTGTTTTTATTTTCCACATAGCAGTCAAAGTAATTCTCAATGAAGTTAGATCATACTAGTTCTCTGTTCAAAATCAATCAATAACTTCACATATCATTAAGGAAAGAATCTAAAACCTCTCATTTTGTCTCCACAATTTGACCCCTCAGTATTTCTTAGTCCTCACCTGCTACTACTTTCCCCTTTGCTTACTCTACTTAGAAGGGGGGCGTTGGTCTCCTAACCATTCCCTAACCATGACAAAACACTATGATTACTGTCTCCAGACTTCAATGTTTGCTATTTCAACTACCTGGAACATGCTTTTCCTAAATATTCAACTGTCCCTTTTTTCATTCTTTCAGAACTCACTCAAATTTTCTGATGAGAGGTTTCTCTCACTGATCTATGTAAACTAGCGTGCACTCAATCTTACCCTGCTTTGCTCATCTTTGCATTTATAAATCACCACTGTGCATATTATGTAACCCCTGGAATGTACACTTGTTTATTAACTTCTTGGCTGTCTCCCACTTTTAGAATGTAAAAGCTCCTTGGTACAGGGCTTGGTCTCATTTGCTCTCATTGTTCAGGCTGATTTACCTAGAACAATGTTTGGCGCATGATAGCTGCTCAATAAGTATTTATGGAATAAAACAGTGAATTGCTCATACTCAGATTAAACACCATTTACATGAGTAGCCTAGTGTAATCAAGTCATAATTTTTAAAGATACTATACAAAAAGTAGAAATTATTTTTACTTAGCTTAGTACTTAAATGATGAATGCATATTTTCATCTTAAGGATTTATAAATATTGATGATAAATTATATTTTTCCCTCAAAGAAACCTCCTTATTTAAAGTCCTGCCAGGATCTTAATTTATAAATTTATATATATATTTATAGGTATAAAATTTATATATTTATAGCTTATCTCAAGATTGCACCTTTTTTTTAGTATGTAAAGGTGTGGCAAGAAAATAGCTTAATATCAATACCAAATTGTATAAGGGCTGAAGGGGCAATAGATGTCAGAGGGTTAGGTTGGAAAGGAAGACGAAAGGCTTAAAATTAGGTAGTTGTCATTACTTCTCAAGATGATCCTATAGACTTCATTTTATTAAATACTTGAGAGTTCACTGACAGTGAGGAAAGAGAAGCCTAAAGGAAAAGGAGTCTATATATTAGAAATGAAAAGAGAGACAGAGAGAAGTTTGGCTATATTTATCTTTCTGGGAAGCAATTAATAAGGTACTAATTCAATTTTAGTGTCAAGTAGCTGGGTAAAAACAGAAAACAAAAACAAGGTTATCTAGCCCAGGCTTCATTGCCCAAGGTATTTAGATACAAACTATCTGGGAAAAAAATGCACGGTAATAGGCTTTTTTGCTCATCCTTCTAATGACTAAAGCCAGTCTGAAGCCACTGGCTGGTGGCTAGATGTTTATCTCTTGTTTCCTATACTCAACTTAATAGAAATGGTCCAACCCAACCGAGAATCCTCACATATGTGCAGCAAATTCCTGAGAGTTGTTATATTGACTCCCCGGATGATCAAGCAGTGGCGCTCATGAGAATATGATTTAACAAGCAGCATTCCCATTTATAAGGATGGAGAGAAACATGAGGGCACTTACAGCATCCCCTCTGCCTTTGACACAATCGATATTTTTTCTGTGAGTAAGCTTGATTTGTGTGCTGTGTGAAGGCCAGGAGCACCAAACACTATCTAGTGGCATTAATATGTTTCTCACTGGTTTCATTTAAAATTTTAATTGGTGAAGAGAAGGAAAATGAACAGTCGTGAGAGGGACCCTGACAAAGAAGCTGCAGTTACTGTCGTAAATGATACACACATCAGGAAATTTTAGCTCTTAGAAAGCTAAAAAGGGGACAGCAGAATGTATATCTGCAAAGTAATGGATAATCCAAACTAAAGGAAACATATCATAATAATCTTAACAGCCTCTGAGATTCATTCCTTTGCTTATTGTTCTCATCACTTATTCTCATTTCTTCTATAGGAAAATATCTCACATGGACCAATAGCTGTGCAGCAAGTGGATATGCTCCGTAGCCATCCTTGCAGACAGATGTGCCCCTGTGTCCAAGTCAGGAAACATGGGATGTGCACAGAAGTGAGGGTGGCAACCTTGAGGTCATTTCCAATTTAAGAACAAGCTCCTAATCTTGGAACTTGTGCACTGTCATCTCCTCAGCTGGTAGAATGCACTCAAGGTGATGATCTGGACTCTACCATGTAAATAACGGCAGTATCTTGAAAGTCATGAGCTGTGACATGGGAGGGACTTCCGTCTCTGAATGATCATGCTGGAGCAGACTCATTCTACACCACGCCTACCTCAGAGATTGTTAGGAGAAAAAGGTAATTTTTTAAATCTTGTTAGAGCCCCTGAATTTTGCATATCTCTGTTACAATAATTTAGTTGAATACTGAAGTCCGTATGTAGAAGTATGGAACTGCCATTAAAATCCCCAAATATAGGACACTAGCTTAGTGGAAGCATGGAGAGTGCAAGGAAGACAAAAATGCTGTAGGGTGGAAAGCTGCTGACCCTTGCTGTGCCACTGCCAGTGAAAAGGTGGCCACCATGTACATTTTGGCACTATGAGTAAAAGCTGGACAATCCTTGCTGCTTTTAGAAGTTTACAGAAGATACTGAGCTCAGGTAAGAATGGGCCATTTTTCCAGAAGAAACAGAAGTGAATAGAATCTTGCTTAGGGAAATTATCTCTGCCTAATTTTGTGTGTGTGTTCTACAATTTAAAATAAGAGAGGGTTCAGAAATTTGGGGTTTGCCAGGATTGGAAAAGTCAACTGTTTCCGTGCCCCAATAACAAGAGATGGTGAGTGTTGTGCAAAGATGCCTTCACATCTTCCCATTAGACTTTTCTACCGTAAATGACCCCTGGAACAATCCTCAGTTCCCTAAGCATGCACAAGAGGCATGCTGCGAAGCTGTCATGTCCCCACTGAGGGCAAGCTCTACTTTCACAATTCACATATGGCCATGGATAAGGCCATTTATCCATCAGGATAAGGAATAACCTTCTAGTCAAGAGAAGCAAGGTTGCCAGATGCACTAACCAAAAAACTCACCTCAGTGCTGTTTGCCTCAGTGTCTTTTAATCTCTGCTTGGCAGAAGGTGCTATGGAACCTTCAGTGTTTCCCATGAAAGTTTCTATTGTCGTTATTCTGTTCCTTCCCCACCACTTTATATTGGGCATTTTGTATGGGGAGGAAGCTTGAGAGCAGGAACCATACTCTACTATTTTATAGGTTGCCAGGCTTCAAAGAACCATATCAAGACCTACTGTAGACATCTGCATATTTCCCAGCAATTCTGGATTTTGAGCTGATTTCAGTAATTGGAATTGAACTTGGATTTTCTCTGTCAGGCATGAAGTAGGCCTCTTTTTTATTTGTTTATTTGTTTTGTTTTTGCTTTAATGAGAAGAAGGGTATTCACTTGTATTTGGATGACTAGATGGGGAGGCCATGGAAGATTTATAGCTGCTCCTTTCCAAAATCTATTCACTTCTTCTTCCATAAGAGAGACTGACC